CAGCATGATCTTGCCGGCCTAACGTAAAATTCTCCCTTATAGGAAAGTAGTCAATATATTTTATAAGATTTAAAAAAAGTATAATTTATTGAAGTTATTTTTCATATATTGAATTTAATTGGTTACTTAAAACCTAAAGCAAAAACTCAGACTGCAAAGCCAAATTCGTATTTAACAAATACGAATTTACTGATTGTGTCTCTATCGGTGCAGAGGCCGTAGCCATTTTGTGTCCGTGTAATTTAAGGGCTTCCAAATCCAACCAGAACCAAGTGCGTTTAAACATATCTTTATGTTAAGTATCTAGACGTTCTATGGAAGGGTTTGCAAAGCCTAGCAAGATGCGTCGGAGATCCTAAGATCCTATTGATTCGTCTCAAATTCTGATTCGAGTAAGACATGTTGGTCACTCCATCCGCATGTCTATCACTAGTGTACAAGAAAAGTACAATAGCAAAAAGGACACGCACATACTACAATTGAAATTGAAATCATTTTGGCTTTCTGGCTGCCTAGCCCATTACGTATGATCTACACCAGACACTTGGGTAAACATTTCTGCGTATATTCTACAAAAGTAGCAATATTCAGCCATTCCCACCCTGTATTAGAGAGTAAAGAAGTTTAACTATTTCCGGTTTTTCCTTTGGCCTTTGTTTTGAAAATGTAGGTAGTGGATATAGAAGATATAGAAGATTCGGTCGCAGCTGACTATAATTGTTTCGTTTATTGCATATTTAATGCGAATCATTCCTCAAGTTCTTTCACAAACTTATCTTACGTAATATATTAAAAAAGTGCACTGATTTTAAAATCTAAACTATATATTAATATATATATATGTATGAGAGTGTTATAAAGACTTTCACGTAGTTAGTTGTCCTCTGTTACTCGGATATCCTATAAAAATTTGAAGACGTTGCTGTCAAGGACAGACTACTATTGTTAAAGCGTTTCATTTATCAGAAGTGATTTCACTTTCAATAAGAAATTTCATTTTCTACCATAAAATGACATATACTTACATATGTAATTATTTAGATAAGCAAGCATGCCTTTATACATACATACGTAAAGCATTGATTCAATTGAAAAAAATGTATAAAAACTCGTAAAATAATGTAAAAAGGCGTCTATAGTTTACAAATAAAACGAGTAGAGTGCTGCAGGAAAAAGAACAAAAGACATTGAACACAGACAAAGTAATATCCTGAAAAAGAGCTCATCATACCTCAAGGTAAGTAAGCACATATGGAATAAAAACTCATGTTTAATTTTTTCACTGCTTTTATTTCGATATTCTTTTTTACCTTTTTTTTGATTTTTCCAATAAAAATACACTTTTTGCACGGTCGCCATCAATCAGCACCAGGCGTTGTTTACTCACGATACATATCGTTTTGATTATGTACATCAGGCGATAATGATGAAAAGAATATTAATTTTGTCATTGCCCGCAAGTTTGAAAACCTTTGTGCATTTCTATGAAACGAGCATGAGTACGCATTACCTTGATGAGATAAAGATGTTGTTGTGTGTTGTTAGTTGTGTTACTTGTATATTTCTGCATATTATTAACTGTCAGTTCGATTATCGGCTGTTTTAACTCGACATGTTTTTGCATTACAATCGAAGGGTATCCAAGATTCGATTCGATTGCAATGAATAGTTGTACTTTATGCTGTAATGTATTCCTTCACTGGTGGATTTATAAAAGCTTGCTATACAACACAAGTATGGCTAAGCATACGAAATGAAATTCTTGGTTATTGAGCGTTTTCCTTAATATTAACTATGTATTCTCTATAAACTCCTCTATCCAAGGGATATAATAATTATATTTCTGTGCGATATTAGTCAAGAGTGAAAGAAAAAACAATGATTTTTCCATGCGAAAGATCATTATTCATAGGGTTATTATGTCTTTTTTCAGATACAATTGAATATAATGGGTGATATAAAAAGTCTCCGCCGTTTATTGCCGGCAAATAGTATTGATGCCTATATATCGGGCAACACTTGTCTGGTTGTCTTACACGAACATGTGCTTGAAGGGTGACATTTCTGCTTACATTTTTTGTCCAGATAGTTTTCTAATTCTTTCCGCATACAAAAAGTTATATTGATTTGAAAATGGGTGAAATATCTGAAGAAATACGCTATGTGATGCTTTTTTTACCATAAAAAGGGTAAAACATGCAAAAACATATCGAAAAATTTGTGGAGTGTAGGGTGAGAATATTGCAAGTGAGCGAAGGCTGCAGGAGTGGTTTGCTCGGATCCGTTTCGAAAATTTCGATGCCAAAGATGCACCTCGCAATTGATCGGCCAGTCACTGAAATGGTCGATAAAAGTTCGCAATTAGTGGAGCAAGAGCGGCACGCAAGCTGTCAGGAAATAGCGGAGGCACTAAACAATAACCGCATGACTGTTTGGAACCATTTAAATATAGCAGGCTGCCATAAGAAGCTCAAAAGAAGATCAAAAAATCACTGAGCTCTTTTACATCATCCATTACATTAAAGAGTCACGTAAGTCATGATTCAAAATTTCATTTTGTTGCACTTGGCCAGTATCATCGGTTTTCTTGTTTTTGGATACGCTACTCTCACTACACGTTACGATTCGGCAGAAGAAAAATTACGCTTTTCATTCTCGGGGTTTTTTTGTTATATAAGTCGTTATCTATCCGAACTGTATCCTGGGGTGTGAAGAAACGGAGTTACTATTCAATAGGATGTAAAACTGTTTATGCACTTTCTCGAAGAACGAATGTTGCTTAGAGATGATTGCTATCAAAAATCATTCTAAAATTGAAATCAAGTTTCTGATATGGTCAAACTTTATCTGATGCCAAAGCGACATGAAACACATAGTCCGGTTAATTACACGTGGGTAATATATATGCCTCAATGTCCTTTAGCGCACGTTTTGGACGTGGAGGTAAAACCATGCTCAACTAAAAAATTGAGCTGGGATTTTTATACCCTACACCACTAATAATACAGGGAACATTGAAGGTGCGCGGATGTAGACAACGTCTAGAACGACTTGACGTATTTTATACGTCATTCCGTTTAATATTCCTATGTCCAAGTTATGCAATTTTGAGACATTTTGAAGAGATTTGATAAACCGATAAAAATGTGTCGGAACCGACTACTTTTCCGATCACTGCACATGTACAGCCTTATGTTAAAAAGTCGTTATATGAATAATTGTATCAAGCAAAGTGGTGTAGGGTGTTTAATGGTGGGTCACTTTTTTCTGTTTAATTCTTTTATGCCTTAGCAAGAAATATTTATTCTCTTCAAGGCGAACTGGGAATGATGCTGTCGTCGTCACAAATAGTTCAGTTATGCTTAGGGATGAAAAGTAAGATTCGTTAAATGCTTATAAAACGATATCGTACTGACATTGTGGACTGATTCTGTTCTGAGTGTAAACTTTTCTAGATTATACGCAATTTAAGTTTTTCTTTTGAAGAGGTGCAAGCCGATTACTTACGTGAATTCTTAGCAGTTTTTATTAAGTAAAAACAATTTTTTAAATTATTTATAAAAATTTATTTGTGTATAAAATTGTTATTATAATTAAATTATTATTTCATTAAATTCAGTTCTATTCGATTTCTCTACATCGAAAAGAAACGAGCTTTAGCTCAAAGTTTTTATGATTATTAAATGCTGAGGTACGCAGATGTCCGTATGTACAGAAAAAAAAAGAGGAAAGAAATAGGCACCCTTTGATTCCTACCGCCCATTGCATCCTCTTTTCAAAAACTACATATGGGAAATATGGATCATATGGTTGGTTTGAGAGTGTTGGATTTCGAATCAACTTGATCGCGGACGAAGCTCCATCTTCACTGTATACAGATTACTAGGAGGTTATAATTCACATCGCGCTCCCACATGATTACGGCGAGTTGCTTTATAAGCCAATTTTTTCCCTAAAAATCGTCATTTTCACAGACAATTTCGGATTTTTTTTATTCGTTAGTTTCAACATTAATCAGTTTTCGCGAAATTGTTAGAAATCTGATCTAGATTTCCTTCTTAGATTAAACGTCTTGTGCTGACTTCGGTAAGCAGGCAAGTGAACAGATGGACATCGGTCACGAAGTTCTTGCTTTTTCGTTGCATTTCCATATATAGTGAAGGGTGGTTAGAAACACTTTCTTATTTCACATTTAAAATCTTAAAAAAAGGTTATGAACGTAGCTTTCTATAAACCGTACTTTGGGAAGTATGTAAATTCAAAATTTACTAAGAAATTGCTTAAATGTGGACGGTGATGTTTCTATCTGTTATAGCTCGAGTCCGATTTCCTTTTTCGAGAAATATTATGAGATTTTGAAAACTTGAAAGGACAGAAATATCTGATCTTAACAACTTGTACCTCATTTAACAATATGTCATTATTAGATACACTAATGTATGTGCATGTATTTGTTAGTATATTATATAATCTAAATTGATTTATGGTTTTTCATCTAAGAAAAGCTCTGAATATTTTTGATTGATTTTTTTAGTGTTTTGGGCTGTTTGTCGCGACTATAAAATTAAAATAATGCCCCTGTGATAAAACTTGTGGTTTGCTTTCGCTTACAAATGCTTTCTGGTTTAGTTTGCAGAATTTCTCAAGCAAGATAATGTGCGTGGGTATGGGTGTACCATACTGTTGGATATTAATAAATTCGTTGCTCGCTTTTAAGTTTCTAAACAAAAATTCCTTTCTTTGATTCCTAAGCCCCTATGATGCTGGAATTATATAATGTGATCTTTGTTTTTTTTTTTTTTTTTTTTTTATCATGTATGTCGTGTAGGTACATAGCATAATTGAGAGAATCCATGCATTAGACTATGATGGCTGATTAGAATATGTATTTAAGGACTACATTTGCTCTTCTAAAACTTCAAATTTCTTTTCATAGTTTGTATTGTATGTAAATTTTATGTTTTCATATGAAGAAAAGTTGGAGTTTTTTTTTGCTTTTCTTTTCTTTTTCTTTCATAACGCTTAGTTTAAATCAAATTTTTTACACTATGATATTTTTATAGTATGACGGCTTTTTCTGATTCTCTTTAATGACGTAGAACCCCTTGGGCTTGCCATTGCCAGAGAAATATTTATTAAAACTGTTTTTGTTGACTGCATTCGCTGGTGCGTAGTACGTTGGTGATTTACGTTTTAGTGGTTTTTTATAGTTTGTCGTTGCATCATGACCGTAAGATTTCTCAATGGAATCATTCTCCCACGGTTTTGACCATGTTGGTATGTTCTTTATATCAATAAGTTTTTCCGCTTTCTTTGGCGACGTATTCGTTGCCGTTGGGTAACGTTGTTTGTCTTGCAGCATTTTCTTTAAAACTGGCAAATTCCAATGGTAAATACGCCCCGGCCTGCCATTTGAGCTGAATGGAAATGAAACCTTCAAACGTATATAAGTAAAAATACATAAAATTAAATACATTTTTTTGTGTTTTTTTGTTTTTTTTTTTTGTTTTGTTTTTGTTTTTATTATCATGTTTCTTTGTCTTTAGGTTAAATGCTTTTATGTTTATTTTAATGCACACTCTTTCAAAAGTCTCTTAAAAGCGAGCTCTCCTTTCAATTTTTAATATGTTCGAGACAGTAAAAATGCCAATTAGAATTGTTCCACCCCTTTAGCCATAAATGTATGTTTATGCATGTTAATAGGTGTGTGTGTGTGTGTATATATGTGTGTGCATAAAATATATGTTCCTCAATAATAACGATGTCGTGTAACAAATTTTAATTAAAACCATTCATTGATAACAACTTGTGTGTTAATGCACTCAAATCAAGGACAAAGAATCATTTTTCCTTTCTTTCGACTCCTACCGCAGCATACGTATTAAATTTACAAAGTGTTTTTAACCCACTTGCACCGAATACCCTATAAGAAGGATATAAAGGGCAAATATTTTTGATAAATTTTTTATATAACGAAATGGGTTCGCTTGGCTAACCATATTTTCTCCTTCTTTGTTTTTTTCGAGGTGGCGAAGAAAGTCAGTCCCTAGTCTGTGGTCACTTGTTGAAATAAGGATTATGACCTCAAAGAAAATCGATTTCATCGCTCTTAGCGTGTGTGTGTCTTTTACGTGTATCCTTAGTGTGGCCATAATTGGCAAGAATTCAAAAATCATGCTATAAACCTATTCTTAAGTGTTTCATTTGATTTACAACATTATCTTGTTACGTCAATGCTTCTTTCAATGCGAAACCATATCTGAGTGACAGGCACTATGATAAGTTATAAAAATTGCATGATCATCTTCCAATAGGTAACCTAAGCGATTTTTTGAAAAATAATCTGCGATTTCGTAAAGTTTTTCTCCTAAAAATACTGAGAAGGTATAGGTATAAGTAGGGAGTTCAGGCATTGAAGTTTTGGATCTTTAGAAAAAAAGTAAAATTTTCATTAGAAGAAGCGAGAGCGCTTTAAATCTTAAGTTTTATTACGTGCTTTTAGTGAAGGGACTTTTATGTGTCGGGTCTAGTCCAAAGAAGTGCACCAAAGCTTACAAATGCTGGACATATGATACTTACATAATAATGTAAATTATAAAGAATGGAGAAGGATGATACGAATTTCACTTCAGGTGGACGAAATGAAGACTGATTGGTTCATAAAACAGAGGCGACTATTTATACTAAGAATTTTGTGAAAAATTTCTTATGCCATTCATGGCGTTAGTGGCCCAAAGGGGTAAGCAAGGATTAGCTTTCGTTAAAATATTGATATTTAATCCTATGCCTTTCTTAAAGCCTTTAGCTGCATATTTATTTCAAATTAAGGCCAATCCACTATTCGTAGTGTAGAGTTCAGTTGCTTTTATAAGAGACTTTTTAAAGAAAGCTTAATGAAAGTCATTTCAACACCCAAAGCCTATCTAGAATCGAATTAAAATTTCTTTTATCATTTATTCTTCTTATTCTTATTAGCATATAGCTGTGACTAAGTATCTAACTAACCAACAACACTATTCATTTGAACCAAAGACGTATATGATGTCATACCCCTTCGAGCAGCCACGAGATTACTGAGATATTTGTGAACGTCATAATAACTATATGTCTGACTAACTAAGTAGGTACAAGTCGGGTGAAGCAGAGACGCTTATGATTTCCATTTCCCTTGTAGCAGTCACGAGATTAAATTATCTCGACAAATCCTCCTCTGGACGACAACTGAGAATGTAATTTCTTTTATTTTACATTGAGAGACGTACAAGGTGCCTTTGGGATTTTGAATTTTTCAATGGATCGAGAGCCGCATTTGCTACTATTGTCTGCAGTTTAAAGCTATCTATGACCAAATCTTTTACTGAGAAATAATTAGATTTGCTCACAATAGTGTTGTTTGTGTTCTTCGTCTTCATTTACCGTAAGACAACTCTTTTTTACACATTCGCAGTCGCTGCAACCGCAACAGTTCAGAGAGTTGTTTTGATTTTTTTTTCTTTGCAAACTAATGCTGTTATAATTGTGTGTTGCTTAGACGAAGGGTATGCAAAAATTTCTGCCAAGATGAATATTTATTTGCGATGCTTGTTTTATGTTCTTTTCTTTTCTCATAGAAATGTGCGTGTGTTTGCAATTTGCGAAATTTCAAAATTGTATATACGTATTATAAACTGGTTCGTGTTTATCTGCAAAGTTGATGCAAAGGCACTAACACATGCCATCTAACCGACAAATATAGTTTGCTTCGCTACTTATGAGATTTGAGAAGACAATCATTTTTTAGAAGCGTGCATCGTCTTGTGTAACATTGAGCAAAGTATTTATGTCTAAAAATGTACTATTATTGTACTCCTTTTTGTTTCTTTTTTGTTTTTTGTTCTACATGAAGAAATGTGTAATTGAGGTAAAAAGAAAAAAAAAAAAAAAAAAAAAAAAAAAAACAAAAAAAAACTTGTTTACCTTTTTCCCGTTAGCATCTTCAGCATGTTTGAGCGTCTTTGGAGTCAATGAATTTTTGGAGTCTGTTGCTGCAGCATATGCTTTAGGATGGCTATAGTAATGCATATTTGGCGGCAATTTTATGATGAACATGTGTGAATCATCAGGCGAAGCGTGACGGCGTGACTCGATGGCCAAACGTTTCCGGTTATGACTGTTGGGCGCTTTAACTTTAGTGAAACCTAATTTGCTAAAAATGTGATCGAAAAAGAAAACTTAATAAATTGGATTTAGTTAAAGAACACATATATATATATATACGTATATATATATATATATATATATATAGGCATATATATATACATTCGTCTCTAAAATATCCATCTTCTCGTTAGTAGGTCAACAAGAAGATAACTTCTATAAGTGATTCGTTGGCATATTTCAGGTCGGTAATGAAAGCTGGATCTAAATAAAAAGTTTTGGCTTTTTTTTGCGTAACAGATCTCCATCTCTGTCGCTGCAATTAAAGTGATTGAAGCGAACTCTCGTGAACTTTTAGTTTGATCGACAGACTGATATGCATATAAGGGTCAAATTTTAGGTTTTCATATTCACTTTTATGACTTTGGCAAGTTTTTGAATAGAAAGACGAACGGATAGACAAATGGTTTTAAAAAACATGGATTTTTAATGGCGTCTGTTTTACGAGTTTCTACATATCGTAGGCAGGACCGTAATAAAACCTTAACCTCATCCTCTGCTTACGGATGTGGAAATAAGAAAGTTCGGCACTATCCGTGCGGTTATCGTGGGTTCAAATTTCAACTGCCGTGGAGTTTTCATTAAAGCCGATAGCCTCAGATGCTAGTGCTCTAAGACTTTGCTCTTATTTATTTATTCATTGTCTGAATGTTTTGTAAATTTATAAATTTACCGGATAACTTGGACCATATGGTCGCTTGTATTGAACACTACATCGCACTTGAGATTCAGACCCCCAATCATTGAGTTGTTACTCGCGGTCATTTGCCTGTTCGACTACTCATACGGGCTCGTACTCAACTTTAGCCTTAGAATGTATGGCTCTGGCTAAATTAATGACTATAGTAATAATAATACTAAGAACAAAAGAAAGGTTCGGCTTTCCTTATCTATGCTAGGGATTACGTCGCCTATAGCTGCCGCCGCTTACGGACATGGAAATATTGTGACCATTTGTAAGGCTCGACGAAATAAACTTATTTTCAAAGAAGTTGTATTTGGAAAATGGGTACGAAATGGGTGAATATAGGCGCCCTAGATAGACTTAAAATGTTATACAAAACAATCGTACAATCATAGGATTTTCTATATACACTTCTATATACTCTATCTTTTATTTGTTAGTTGTTGGTGCAAAAAAAAAAAATTAATCTTAAGATATGATCGCATTTGTCATCTTAGCTTAGTAATTGGAATTTATTTTTGGCATGCAATTGTAATGAAACGTTAAAGCTATATATTTATCGGTCTTATCGGACTCGTGCTAAACTCATGTATACTTACTTTAACATTTTCTTATTAAGTTTATGCGAACTTTTTGTTAGGTTTTTATACTTTTTTGGATTTATTGATTGTTTAAGAGACGCCGCCGTCGCCGTTACACCCTCGAATAAATGGTCATTAGACTTTAATTCCGTTTGATGCTTTTTTTGTTCCTGCTTATTTTGCGGCCTTTGTTTATTCCTTTCAATTAATGTTTCTTTTGTTACTGCATTCAGTCTTTTAATATTATAAATGTTAGATTGTTTCACAGTAGATTTTGTTTCCTTTTTATTGTCTTGGATGTTTGACTGCGCTCCGGCGATTGCGGAACCGCAGCACATATGATAAAGTAAACTGCAAATATAAAAAAAAAGGTAAGGGTTATAATTATTGTGTACACAATGAAAACATACGTACATCGGAATCCTTATTTACAATGATAGAATTAAAAAAAAAAAAAGACTTTGTTGCTATATATATATATATATATATATATATGTATATATGATATTCTTGTAATTTTATACCTGTTTGCTTCATTGTGGATTTCAAAAGAAGAAAAAAAACCTTTTTCCCCTTTGCACATCTACCCACTACGTAGAGAACTTACGACGAGAGATATTTTTTTTTTTTTTTACTTTTGGGGTACATTTGAAAATGATTGCTTTAATAATTTAATGAATGAGCATTTGTACGATGGAAAGATTCGATATATTTCGAAAAAATCGAGTGTTGAGCTTTGATTTGCAATTATTTGAATCGTTTGATTTAAGAGGAAATTATTTACGTAAAAGGCATCCAAGTTTATCTATATTTATCTGATTCAAAATATGTTATTTTTCTATTAATGAATCATCAAAGGTCTAAGAACTAGATGCAAAGACTAGGTGCAAGAAGTAGATGCAAAGCTTGGATGTAATATCCATTTGCTATTTCAGATACATAGTTTCAACTATTTGTCACATCATATGGCAAAGTAATTCACCCTTTCGACTTCACTTATAAAGATATGCTCGCTTAAGTTGTTTCTTTGGTTCTCTCTCAATAAGTCAAAGAAATGAAAGTCTACTTATCAATGGGAACGGACAGAATCTGTATAGAGTTATTTTTTATTTCTATGAATTACATCACTTGCGAAACACGAGTATATTAAGGTTGTGTGGATGCGGTACTCAGAAGGACAGGAGATAGACTTAGCTTTCATTGTACCTGTTTAGGCATGTCTGTCCTTCTGTCTGGACAGCTTTCTTTTGTTCAATCTGACATTTGCAGCGACATTTTCGCATGCCCTACCTTTTGATGAAATTTAATGCACTCACGGGAAGTGCTGTAGGGTGAAGAGTAGGACCGTGGACAGGTACAGGGCGTTGACTTGCTTTTGATATAAACGTTTTAGGGTTAGTGTTCTAGCCTCAGCTTGTCCTATATTTTATAATCTTTATGCGTTCTTTTCGTTTACACGCTTAACCCTATCATTTTAGGATTATATCGTAATATATTTTCGACGTCGTTTCTCATTTTCTCAAAAAGTAACAATTATTCACGCTTGTTTTTTTTTTTTCTTAAAAAACTCATTACCATAAGTTTTACGTTCCCTAAGACCTATGGTCGGTATGGAACTCGCCTGGGAATATAACAGAGAAAAGTGAAAAGAATGTTACGATTACGCAGGAGAGTGTGCGTTGATGAAAGCATCCTCTGCAAATAGGGAGAGGAAGAGGAGATGGTGGTCGTATATTTTTGGCAAAAATTAAAAAAAAAATGCTTGCGCTTAGCGGATGCCCCGTAATTGCGTCATACGGTGATGGTCGGACAGAAGCGAGGTGAGATAAAAGGAGAAGCGAGGAAGAGAAAAAGGAAGGAGATGGTGGAAGCGGTCTGGTGGACTTGTGCAATGACTTATCAACAAGTAGCCTACAGTACACCTACGTAATTAATTAACCAAGTAATAATAACTTGATATTTAATTTCAAGCATTTTTTAATGTTAACGAATGACTGAATCACCTTTCGCTAGATATCAATAAATAAGCATTTAAATGGAACATTTCAAGTGACGATTACATTAGAAGATTTATCTCAAAGTGGATATTTTTTAATTTCCATATACAAAACTCATAACAAAATAATCTCTTACACATGTGCGTACATTTGTGGCTTTCATTTGCACTATTAATCAATATTTTATGGTCTCAGCTGTTGTTTATGCTGCTGATACAGACACCATAAATAATTCATCTGCTAATTACGCACGTGTATATATTCGCATACTCACACACACACGGGGATTGTTTCTCATCAGCATTACGTTGAAATGGGCGATTGCGTGCAATTTGTTATAATTCACAGCAGAAAAGTAGTAAAGAAAATTGTTATGTAATGCAAAGAAAGAAGAAAATTAGGTGAAGTTAAATTTAATTTTCGCCAGCACACATACAATGCATGTGTACAATGTATAAAGAATGTATAGTGAATAAGTGCATCCATCTACGTGTTGCTTAAGATTTTCTTAACAGCGCAAAAAATCTTAAGCTAATTGCCAGCAGTGGCATTTATATATCTATTAGTCTCATGCTTTGCACGACAAAGTCATAAAATCGCGTGTAAGTTCGCAATAATTTATGTATGTAATACTTGTAAATCGGATATGCGGTATGCAACCATGCACAGGATATATGAACAGATATAAAGTATATGATGCCGTATTTCATCATCTTGTCATTATTTCAGATTTGTTTTGTATCTTTATCGATTCAGGTAAGACGGCTTGTTAACAAGTCGAAAAGCTACGTTTATCTTTTAACGCATGCTTGCTAACCATCAATTACGAGAAAGACCTGAAATTTGTCCGCATTTTTATTAATCGTAGGCGCGCCAATGGGCGTTTTTAAAGAAAATATTTTCTTCTCCTTCAATGTTGTGACAAAAGCTTTTTACTATATATATGAGGTGTTTGCATGTATTTTGATCATTTTTTCACTTGAAAAAGGCATTTATTGAGAAAACCTGACACAATATACATTAATCAAAATATTTTCCGTCATTTTCGACAACTTTTCCTCATCCTTCGGGCAACAGGCCGATAACACGTCGAAAGCACAATATTGGCTTGGGAGCGATGCATTTCGGAACCGCGTGTCAACTAAGTCATGCTATATCGATCTGAACAAGGATTAATCCGACGGCACTATGTCAGCTGAGTACAATGGACGCGCCAGAACTTGCCACTCAAGTTTCAACAATGTATTCTTCACAGCTCCTGCGATGTATGGCCGAGCGCGGCCACGCAAAAAAATGACTTCACGTCTGTTAAAAGCTATTGCAGGCCTTTTTTGCAACCACACATCGTTCAATTTGTTCAGCTGACGTCGTTAGACATCTGCAACAAGAGTTTGATTTGGTTTGGTGGCTCGTAATGCGCTATACTTTGCTGATGCGACCAAATGCACAGCAAAACTTTAGGGCCATAAATATTCCGTTTCGATGCCAATGCGGATGACTCTCCTGGAATAAGCCATGACTTTTTACTTTTAGGATTGTCGTAGCACATCCAATTTTCATCGGCAATCGCAATAGAACACAACATCAGCATAAGCTTCTAAAAATTTTTCATGGCCTTCGGCAACACATTCCTTCAAATCAATCAATAAAAGCAATGACTGTCGAAAATGCAATTCTGAGGGTGCCATGATCAGCGTCTGTATACACTGAATAGCTCAATAATACCGAATGGAAAACTGTTATTTTATGTAGAGAAAGGTTAAAATCATCATATCTAACCACTATGTGCATTGACGCTTCGTATCAAAATACGTGGCAATACCTATTGTATAGTTCGAAAAAGCTATACCTCATCTTCGAGTTTTCAGTTTTTTTCTTGTGGATTTTTTATGGAAAAGGTAAGCAAAATTTCACTTTTTAGACAAATTCAGACAATGCAAAATGGACCACACACATATATATATATATGTATATATATAAGTTATATACATATATGCCCGTAAATAATGTGTGAATTTCATAAAAAAGAAATCAATTATATATTAAATCGAATTTCAAATAGTAAGAAGGGAAGTTGTGGTTTGTCCTAAACCAAGCACATTCGGTTCTCTTTCTCTCTCTATTTGTCCCTTCTTTTTTTTTTCGGGAGCTAGTGGCAGCATATGGATATCTAGTGGACCTATGATATTCGGGTGAAATTTCACATTACCTCGATGTGAACTCTTACAGATCGTTACCCTTCATTCTATCACCCTACATCCCCTGTGCTAGTGTGAGATTAGGTGTTTGGATTTTGCCTTCGTGTGGCTTTATTCCAGAATATGTCGTGCAAAAAATTGACGCAAAAAATTTTCCATCTTTTTATCTACTTTTCTATTCATCTATCTGTCTATCTATCTTTCTCTGATCCATTTTCTCTTGATCAATTATAATTGCATATGTTCGGTAAATTGCTTTCTTTGGATAAAATGTGATGAAAAGCGATCTGAATACGTAGGACTAGAGAGGATGCATTCTTTTCGTAGGAGACTTATTTTGCTTTAAAGACGAATGAGGACAAATTTCTGGTTGTCAAGTTAGATGAGAGAATATATCAATAGATGCTGAAGATCAATAATGTATGAGAGGCTACGACGAAAACTGTTTTCACCACAGATCGCACGATCATAAGTTCATCGTAAGTTCATAGAAATGTTAGAAAAGAAATCGCACGCACCTATATTTACGTATGTGTGTGTGTTTTCATTGTTATTCTAAGACTGGTGTCATTAACTTCTTCTTTTTCATTCTTTTACTGCATTCGAATTTTCTTCGTACAAATATTTCAAATTTAAGTAATGAACGTGTATGTGTACGTGTATGTGTTTAGTTTTTAATAAGTTTATTTTCTCCAATTCATTTTTATAAATAGATGCGATTGCTTTAAGCAGAATACATCGTTTCTGTTGAAAGCAATTCAATAAAGGCTATTACTAATACTATTACTGCTACTACTACTACTACTACTACTACTGCTATTGCTTTGCTTGTTATCTAAAACTCAAGTCGCATTGCTGGTAGGCATATACACATATACGTAAGCACTTGTATCGAGTTGGGATAGCAAGAGAAACGTACACAAACACTTCCTTATACCATTTATAGATTGACACAATTTTTAGAAAATTGTCTAATGCACTTAAATGAATAATGAAGAAAATCCACAATTTGCAAAGAATTCTTAAGAAAAATATCTTAGCCGTTTAAGTAATACTCACCTTACAATAATGAATTTTATTAAAAGCATTTTGTGCAAATTCACAGTACAACTGTAACTTGAATTTTAACGATACAAACGTACACGCTTACACACACACACACAATTACAAGTAACAATACAAGTAAAGAAGCAACGCGGAGGGGGTGGGGGGTAGGGGGGCATACACGCATGCACCCAAACGCACAATTTAGTTTAGATCAATTTGCCGAGTTGACGTTTATGTGTTTCGCGTTAACAATTTCAGTTAATTCAAGTAACTAACCACTACAACCACAACGACAAAAGCCACACTACAATTGCATTGTTTTGTTATTCACGTACAAGAAAGAACTATGAATGAATAAACAATGTTCAATTCACTCACTCACTCACTCACTGACAATATATGGCATGTACGCACACACACATATACATTACATACATCAAGATAGATTCACAGTCAACTAAATACACTGCCTGGCAAAGAAGCCGCTATATAACGTTCTTATATGGCTTTTAAAGGAATATTATCTTAAGCAATGTTCAGCTGAGCATAAGACATGCACGATGGCAATGGAGGCAATGGAGGCAGTAGGAGTCGTATTAGTTAGTATCTCGCTGTTGTTTGCATAGATAGAGTAAAACAATTTGTAATTTTTTTTACATAAAAGGAATACTAAGTATAACATAAGATTGAACACTGACGATTGACTGGTGGGTTGGGCGTAATAAATTTCACATTGAATATATATGACGAAAATGCAGACGTCCAATATTTCCACGCAAAGTTCGTCGAAGGAAAAAAACCCAAAAACAAAAAAAAAATAAATAAAAATAAATCGCAAAATTTGAATTATTTAAGTTTACGCGACTATCGTCTTCAAAATAATAATGTTGCGTATAATTTATTAGATGTTTTTTCCAATTTTTTTTTTGCTCTCACAACTTAGTTCATTTAACGGTCACTTTTATTAAGTAATAATTTAAACCGCTTGACATATCACCGCTTTATTTCGCTTTAGTGCATGAGAAGATTTTTCGTTTTCGTTCTTTTCGTTTTTTTCTTTATTTATTTATTTATTTGCTATTTTTTTTTTTTTTGATATAAATAAAAAGATAAATATGCAGGACGCGTTAGTAACAAATAGAGTAAAACTGTGACTAACGCGTTGCAATGCTAACGCTTAACTGATATGATATGAGCTGCAAACTGCACTGGAATCAAATAAGAACTTTGCTATAACTCATACATTACACTCTGCGCAGTCGCAATTAAATTTTGTTGTGTTGTATGCTTACGATAAAATCTCGGCAAAGACTGAACTTTGTTCATAAACTGTTTAGGCTTTTTACTACTACTACCACTACTACTACTACTACTACTACTACTACTACTACTTTGTCTTCTGCCGTATCATTCTGACATTGGTTCGTTGGCTGTCTAACTGACTGACTAACTGACTAACTGACTGACTGAATGACTGAAAGACATAAAGTCAATCTGCCTACTATGGCAGGCTCCATAATACGTAGATTTACAATGTACGATGAAGAGAAGACAAAACGAAAACTGCAACCGTCAGTGAAGGTACACCGTAAGAAAATTATTGTACATTAAAAAAACATTTGTAATATCAATGAATATTCGATAGGTTTTAAAAGACTCTTCGTTATGCATGACTTTTTTTTAACTTTTAATTTTCATTTACTTTAAATGCAACAAGAATGCTTATGGTGGCCACTTATTCAAATAAAATTTCCTTCAATCGTTTACTCAATGTATAAAATAGAAGCACACAACAAGTAGATCAGTCTCGTTTCAAGCCTCATTTTTCAAATTCAATTCATTCGTCTTGATTAAGCTTCTATTCGCTTATTTGCATGTTCCTACCTTGTTGGCGCTTTCACGTTTACAAAAACTAGTCCACATAACTGAGATTTAATATTGATTTTCTTAGCAACAACAACAACTTGTTTCATTTGTCAATTGCTGGTGAAGATCACCTCTGCGATACTACAATTTAAAAAGTCTTAATAATCATAATAGATGTAAGAAATAAGTTTTCAAAGATTCAAATCCGCTCAGTTCGGCTTTTCTAACGAATTCTAGTCCAAGCTTTACTTTGTACGTTAAAGGCGGTTACTATAGGGCGATCGAATAAATTTTTGCAATCTAAAGTCTTGATAATTATAATAATTACTTACAATGGTAATAATAAAAACTTTTTTCGGAATTTATTTCAAGATTTTATTATGGTTATGAGCGGATTATTCTTATTTTCAACTCAGTTTCAACAATTAACTTTTAAGAGATATATGTATATATATATGTAGATATATAATGCTGCGATTAAAAGGAAAGACCAACATTCAAGTTAAATTGCCCGGGTATACCGAATATCAGAAATATTTTTCTTTCTAACCTGGACATATCCATATGCCTCACTCGCAGTGTTTCAGCTGCGCGACATAAAAAGCATTTTGTTCGATTTCTACAATGTGTATGTGAGAATGTGTGTGTGTATGTGAGAAAATGCGTGCGTACGTGTGACTATCATGATTAGAGTTGGAAGGAGCTATGGACACGACCCAGAAGAAAACCACCAATCAAGCGAATATTTTGCAAAAGGTAAACCAAAAGCGAAAAAACATTGCCAAAATCGTTTGATTCCATTATCATGGTGCTGTGCAGTATGAATTTCCTCCGCGGGGCCATACCATTAACAAGGAAGAATTTGAAGGGTAAATAAACTTAAAGAGGAAAAAATTAATTGGTGTTCCTTGTTGATCGCAGTACCAGAACAATCCACTCAGGGACTATCCTCTACACGTGTAACACGGTAGGGCTAAAGAGAGAGAGAGAGCGATATGGAGTCACAACGTGGGCATATGGGAACGAGTGATGCTTTATGCCTTTAACGACCGAGCACTCAATATAGCTACGATCAAACATCAATCCAAGTTAAAGTATGATCCCCCGACTATGCCGACTTGATAGTTGCGCGTCCTAGCTATTTGGCTATGCGGTAGCGCCTGTGTTTACAGTATTATTTTCCTTTTTGGTGTGAGGAATGAATTGCCGAGTTTGTAGGTTCAGTTTCCGATTTCCAAGTCTCGATTGAAAATCCACCTATTTGTTCAGTTCCTTAATTCGTGTTCCCAAACGTTACAAATCGAATGAAAAATTGTATAATTTTTTAAGTAATTAATTAATTACTTAAATTTTTCTGCAAATTCTGCTAGACTATGATTTACTATTAAGCGAAGATTTGCATGTGTGCAAAGAAAAGCATGTTTGCTTTGCACTGAATAAATTCTATAAAACTTTTCAATATATCGAGATGCTAATCTAAATCGAAACAGACCCACTTTCAAGTTGTTTAGAAAAAGAAAAAAACATCGAGTTTCACAATATCCCTTAACAAGGGAGAAAAGGGAGAGATGAGTGTTTTGCTTCTTTTTTTTGGAGTGTCGTCATCATAACTCGAAGTTCACCTGTAAGAAATGTAAGAGACATAAAGCACGCCATCGTTTTCTTTTCTTTGTTGTCCTTAATGTTTTCTTTTTACATTTTATTTTGGCTTGGTTTGTGGTGTTCGCTCTGAAAAAAAAAAAAATAAAAAATAAAAAATAAAAAAAAAAAAAACGTAAACCTAACGTTCGACGGCAGTGACTCAATGTGAAGAACAGCACCAATAACTGCAACAGGGCAAGCAACAAAAGTCATGCATGGCCGCAGAATAACAAATAACAACAAATAACCTAACAGTCAACAATGGGTGGTAGTTGTATTGATACCCGTTCAAGATGTTAGGGCATCCCAGTTTTATTTTAGGGTTTCATTTTTTCCCTTTTTTTCGCTTTTTTTTCTGTTTTTATTTATTTATTTATTTATTTTATTTTTATTAACAACCACGATGATGCATGTCTTTCACAAACGTTTTATTTCTTTCTTCTATTTTTTTTTTTTTTTGTGGCTTTGGCCAAGACTTGAAAGAAAAACAAACAAGTGAAAAACATGTACTCGTCTTAAGATGAATTTTGAATACCCAACACAACTCAATAATTTCTAATCAATAAATGCCTTACGGGTCATTTTCATTTTTTGAATTCCTAGGCGGTTTTTTTTTATGATTTATGCAATAATTTTCCAAAGATTTTTAAAAAATTGTTATCATTATTAATTTTCTTTACCCGCTGTTGTGTGAGCAAGTATAATAACGGTACGGTCATCCTAGTCGCTTTCAAACTTAAATTATGAATTAATAAAAAAAAAAAAAATAAAGAAGAAAAATATGCAAAAAAGTAATTGTCTATATCAATAACCAGTAAGCGGACGGATAGACAAATAGAAAGAACGTTTTAACGTACATTTGCGAAAGTTACAAGCGAAATGACAATAGTGTTTGCTTACACGCTTTGATGGTAGATCTTAAAATAGCAAAAAATAAAGGAAAACAATGAACAGCTCTTTAAACAACTTCAATATGACCACATAAGTAGAATACAAAATAAGAGAGAATAGGCTTTATATTCAGTTAGAGTCGACTAGCGCTGACCGCACTTTGTTACCCTAATAGCCAGGCCATAGTGAAATATAACGGAAATGAAGGGAATACGCAAACATTTGAGGTCTAATTTTTTAGTGGTGTCTGGACCCGAGATCAAATATTTGCCATATTGCTTACTAGCTTCTTGGCGGCTTATATGCTTATGTTCTTAAAGGCTTTTCTAACGCTGAGGGCTCGCTGTCGTTTAACATATAAAAAAAATCGTCCGTTTTGAGAATCGATTGATTTGCGAACCACCACTATCGGTAATATATAGCAAAAGAGGAGAAACGAGAAACCCGCAAAAGTTCCCTCGAAGTTCCTGTAAGTTTTAGTTGTTACTACTGTGTCCAAAAAGTAAGACCAATTTCATTTTTTCTTCTCTAAATCTATTCATTATTCTAAATCGATTTCATCGCCTTCAAAGTAATCCGTAAACATCTGAGACGAATGTCTGTCGCAGTGCAAGCAATTTAGAGAAAAATATTTCTAGTATCCGTTATATCCGCGCAATTGAACTGGAATTTTGGTCTTACTTTTTGATCACAGGGTGAAATTAGTCAGAGCTCCAAGCGATTCAAGCATACGAACATATTTTGTTTTAGAAGGGTGTAAAGTAAAGCAAAAGCTTAAAAATAAAATTTTTGCGAAAAATCGTCTCAAACTTGAGAACTACCGTCTACCACATCTAGTAAACGGCGCACAAAGAGATGATTAACCATGAAAACCATAAATTCAATCTTAAGTTGAAATAACTTATGTACGGCATTGTGTATGTATGTATGTATATGAGAACACAACCAGAAAAACAAAAAAATAAAATACCCAAACGAAAATCTTTTTGGTTTTATTTGTGTGTGATTTTTGCAAAGAAGTAATTTTTAACCGTTTACGAATTAAGACTACGTCTGCACATATTACTGTAAGAGAATTTTTTTTTTTTTTGCCCTCCCGGCATAACACTAACGCACGTGTATTCATCTGCCTGTAATTTTCATTGACTTTATTGCAGTAAAAAGAAAATCGTACATTTTCTCTATGAACCGTTTATTCCAGATGTATTTCTTCAAAGATTATCGTTTTTACGAGAGTGTCATAGCTACTCTTACTTGTTACTCTGTAAACAATATTTTTAGTAAATTTTAAAACGAAAAGTCTAAGAATTCGTTCGTTCGTTCGCTTTTTAGGGCTTTTTATAGCCTTTTTTTTTTGATTATCATTCAATCCAGGGACCACAACTTCAATAGAGGAATGTAGTTAAACGAAACGGCAGACGTGGCACCTTGAGTTTGCAGCTGATCAAGAATATACTTCTTTGGCTCCTTAATGAAGATATCATTAAGAGCTTAGTACGAAAGCCTGGAGGTTTTCACCCTTGAACACTACATATCTATATATAACTAATGGGAACTGAAAGCACTTAAGTCGCGTGGGCAAGAATCGCGGGCTCACTTCTAAATGTGGTAGAGTTTATGTTTGTCGTAGTTATAGGGAGGGCTCAGTTGGTAAAGGCATAACACTTACCGAGTGA